TCGAAAATCTGTCAAGGATGAGAGGATATCTGGGATTAAAGTGGATATAGCAGGATTTTCGATATCAAGTTGGGAAATTGGGCATTTGAAGCCTAATTATAACTAATGGTACTTTATGGATATACCACCCTCCTATTTTGAGTCTCAGAGTTTTTCCCTTTTTCCTTCCTAAATTTCTCTCCGTTTCCCAGCGGAAAATTAAATGAGTGCATTATTTAAAAAAGTGGCATTAGTACTAGTGTTTCACCGGAACCGAAATTTTGACCGGAACCGGAACCGGAACCGGATCCAATTTAAGTTCCGGTTCCCGGAACCGGAACTTTTCAAAGTTCCGGCCCGGAACCGGAACCGGAACTTTTAAAAAAATTTTTGCTAGCACATTTTAAAAAATTTTTATTTTAAGTAGGGGTGTGGTTTCGCCAAATTTTTCGATTAAATTCTGCCAAATTCTTCTGTTAATTGAAACGAAAAAAATCCAAGTTTTGGAAGACCAAATCCCTAGCTATTCAATCCCTGATATCTAACTTGCACAGCTCATTCCCTGGACATCACACCCAAATCCCTCTATATTACCTATAACCCCTTGAACTCACATAATGTAACTCAAAATCCACCTTCATCCATCCAAATCCTTCGATTTACCATACAACTTCCCTTCATAGCGCCGCAGGCGAAAATTTGGGATTTTAGGTGAACCAAGGATACAAAATTCTTCCTTTTTAAGCGCCGCAGGCGAAAATTTTGAGAATTTGTGTGACCAAGTAGCTAGATTTCTTCCTTTTCTGGCGCCGCAGGCGAAAATTTTGAGAATTTTGGAAGGCCAATCGGGGAAAATATTGCAAGGCCAATCCATATTTCTTAAAAAAACTAATCCTTAGGGGTGTAAAAAAGTTCCGGTTCCCGGAACCGGAACCAAAAAAACACCGGAACTTTCCGGAACCGGAACCGGAACTTCCGGTGAAACTCTACTTATTACATATTTAGGAAATCTCAGAGACTCAAAATAGGGGTGGAGGGTGGTTATCCATAAAGTACATAACTATAATTATACCTCCATAACAGGCTCCACCACAAGAACATCTCGGCCATCCACAAAACATATCCCCAGTAAACCGGTTGCATGTCCATCGCTTATTACGTTCATGCAAACCTTCCTTTAGATCAACATCTATTATTTTTAGATATATTTTATTAAAAATTGGATATTCAAGTTATCAGTTTAGCCATTAAATTTTAATTAACAGTTTCTAAATTGAATTCGACGATGTCGAATTCAGATCTGGGATTGAGTCAGCACAGCGACTCAATCCTTATGAGGATATCGGTGGAGTTGGAAAGCTTTCGAGGAAAGCTATTAATCATTAATTGCACAAGTGCGTCGCCTGCGCCCCTTAGGGTTTCGTTGACCATTTTGAGCCTGCTTATCTCGTCTCAGAATCAAGATTTCGAGCTGATTTTGGAAAAATTGCGAGTTGCGGAATCTTTTTTTGATTTCGCTCAGCCCTGGCTTGCTCCCCCCTATGGTTTTTCGATTTTCGGAGGCATATATCTCGGCCCATAGGTGAGTCCCGAAGCTGGTTTTGATGTCGTTCGGCTCAGCTCGGTGAGCTCTTTCGAATGACATATCGTTTGTCTGAATCGGTTTCCGGGAGATATGACGGAATTTTTCCATCATGTTAATTTTGCAGGATTCAGCTTAACAACTTATTGGTCGTTCTATTTAAAATCTTTTTTTAAAAGGTCTAGTACCTGAATTACTAATTTCAGACATTCGATTTTCATCTTTTTCGGTTGGTACAGACAATACAATATTAATCAAACTAATCAGAACAGTCAAAAATACAATTATTAATATTTTTTTCATATTTTTTAATGGTTTATGAATTCGGAATTAAGAAATTAATTTAAAAAATAATTTTAAAAAATTTTTTATCTGAATTTATATATGTACATTTAACTTGTGCTTATAAACCAGTTTTTATATTGTTTTTAAAATTTTATTATCTAAAAGATTTATAATTAAAATTAAACTTTAAATAAAATATACATGTACTCTTAAATATTTAGTTGATTAATTTGTCTGTTAAACTAAACAAGGAAATAAAAAACCCAAAATTGTGGACAAATATTTTTATGTTTTTGTATTCATGATCAAAACCCTCGCACTTAAATTTACTTGAAAATTTTAATTTTTATAATTGGGTAGGAAAATGTCAAAATTCACTAAGCTTGGCTCTTAAGTTGGATGAATTATGTTTGGGTGTTTTTCGATTCGCTAAAATTGGCTGAAACAAGGTTTTCATTAAAAAAAGATGCTTATTTCCACATAGGTACTTATTTCTATTTTCACTTTTTAATGCTGAAAACAAAAATTTTAGAATTTTAAGTGGGAAAGAAGACAAAAATTCAAAATGATTTCTGGGAGGGCTAAGGAGCCAGAATCCATTATCTGATACATTTTATAAATTCAGAAAATTTTGATTAATTTGTTCACGTATATCTTAATTAAATATTCTTCAATTAAATAATTGATAAATTTGTTTTAAAAAATAATTTTACTTCCCCATTGAAAATAATAAAAAAAAACTTGTTTTGTTTTAATGGGTTGTTAGATAAATAATGAGCCCTTTTCGCATTTTTAGTCTTTCTTTACGTTTAGGTATTCGAATTTTAGTTAGAATTATTTTAAATTTACTAGAGTCGATAGTTCACGCTTTTTTCTACTAGCCAGAACCATTTAAAAAATAAATTTTTATTTTTGCAGTTTTTTAAAATTTTTTTAAAATTATGTCCTCAAAATCTGAAATTCGGACTGTTATTTTGTATTGCTTCAAACTCGGTCTAGGTACAACTCAATCCAAAAAAAAAATGCCGCCTTGAAGGGCACAAGTTGGGCATCTTTTGCATCAATTAAGCGATGCTACAAAAAATTCCGTGATGGAGATATGGGCCTAGATGCCAAAAAACCCAATTTTGGGCTAAATTTGGGGTTTATCTTGGCCTCGACTTTTTTGAAATTTTTAGAAACTTTATCAGAGGTAGAGTCACATTTAAACCTAAAATAAACATTTTTAGATTCATCTTGGCCCGAATTACCGTAGCGGCCATTTCGTTGCCGAGCTGAAGAACTTGAAAAGTTCAAGCGATCCTTGGCAATTATGCGATGACAAGGAGGTCCATAGGTGGAGGACGCTAAAGTATTTTTTGTTTGAGATTTTAATTTCGATATTTCTTCTTTTGTAGAATTTTGCTGCCTAAGTTCTTTCTTATGAAAAACGAACGAAATTAGACCATAAAAAGAACTAATTAGGTAAATTGTTGTAATAATATTTATTTATTGTATTTAATTAAATTTTATACAGCCATTTCTTATTGTATACTACATAAATTGCATTTTTGTTATAAAATTAATATTCTAGTACAGTTTTATCCCAAAAAGTGAATAATTGAAGGAAAAATGATAAATCTCTGATTTTCTTATAAATTCACACGAATATTTAAAATAAAAATAACAATTTTTTAGAAAAAGGGGATTTTACAGGAATTAGTTCGTCAGATTTCTTCTCGATTCTAGTCAATAATTATCTCCTTGTTGCTATTGGAAACGAAGTTTAAAGTTTTAAAAATATGCTTGTTTTGAATATCAATTCGTTAAATTTAAATATTGAATAACTAAAATGACATCAAAGGATGTAAACGATGCCATTTCTTCAGCAGGATTTGTTTCACGTTCAGGAAGTGGTCGTCTTCCTTCTCGTAGTGGTAAACAAGAAGGAAAGGGAGGTGGGATAATTTTAGAAATTTTCTTCTCGTTCCTACAAAGGGCAACTCTTTCTCAAGGATTATTCTGTTTTTATTATCCCTTTAAGAAATACTTAAGTCACAGAGAAAATGAATCATTTTTAGATGACTTAAATGTCCGAGTTCGAGAACGATCAACTACAGGTACAGAAGAAAGACCAAAATCTCGTCTTGGATCTTTTTTATCAAAACGTGGGGGAAGTGGAGACAATGTTGGAGGTATACAATCAATTGTTGGAAATAATGCCTCTGGAACTTCTTCCATTGAAAAGAAGGCTAATGAAATTAAAGAACAAATAAAACGTCCATTATCTAGTTAAATAATTTTCTCTGAAAAAATTTTTTCTTTAATCCAAAAAGGCCTTTTTCGACGTACACAATCAACTGAACGTTCACAAGGAGGAGGAGGCATTACAATAACTAATAAACAAGGCAGTAATTTATCTTCAAACAATACTTCACGACATGTTGCGGCTCCTCTTTTTGCTAACAGAGCTAGTAGTAATAGAGTTCCCTCGGCTGTAGGAGGGAGATCTACGGTAAAGTGAATGTTGTAAATTTTAGAAAATTTGTTGGGTATTAAGATGATAATTTGAGAAAGTAAAAGGGATCTTGCTCAATTTTTGACACAAAGTCTGATCACGAAAATGATCACTTAATAATAGATTTATCAACTTTTTAAAGCCTGATTGACCATTGGGAGGGCGAACTGCCTATGTAATATTAAAGAAACATCTTTATTTAAGAAAACTGATAAGAAGGTACAATTTTCAGACCTAAGGGTTTATCTTATAGGGAGATCCAACTGTAAATGGATGAGAATCCATCCTTAATGCTTCCATTTAGTCCAAGGATTTTCAGTCAAAGTTAGACTTTAAAGTGTTCACAAAAACAATTTTTTACAAAAAATCCCTCTATTAATATTTCATAATTTAATCACTTTTTCAAAGACCTTAATAACTGGAATGGGAACATCCGGAACCGAGAATAATGATAATGCTGCAAATGGGGGTGCAGCTAATGGAGTTGCATTTACAGCAACTAGACCTTTTACTGGATTCCCTGGAACTAAAAGAGAATCTATTAAACAACAAAATGATGAAAACAATACAAAAATGCAGATGGAGGCATGTTAAATTTTAATAAATCTATTAAGCTTCTCGAATTATTTCAAAATTTTCTCCATTTTTTATTTGTAGATGGATTTAAGTGAACAAGCAGCTATTGCCCCAAGTATGAGGCGTTTTTCTGGATTTTCTGCTGATCCTTCCTCTCTTTTTCTCATGAAACAACAAAAACAACAAATAAATAAAGGGAATAAAAATTTGGGTGATAATAGTGAAAATGGGGGAGAAATTGGTAAAATGGAAGAATTTTTTAAGAAAATTTCGGAAAAATTTTTTCTTTCAGATGATGTAAATTTTCTTTCTCGATTTCTTTGTCCAGAAGATGAAATTCAGGATGAGAATATTCCTTGGACATGGGATTCATTGTGAGCGTTCTAAATTTTAGTTGAGTAGAAGTGAGAAACTTGAAATTCAGTGAATTGTCTAATTTTCGGTGAATTGTCCTTATAGGACTTGCGAATCAAATCCAAAGAATTTTCAGAATATTTTGTCTCAATAGGAGTGTTAATTTATTAAACCAAAAAAAACATTTTTCAGATTTGCAAGTGTAACAAGCGAATTAAGAGAAGAATGGGCATTGGAAGAGGAAGCAGCAAATAGCGGAGGGGGAGGTGTTAATGATCAAATGCCTGGTGGAGGGATACCTACAAATAATTTACAACAAAAGGGATATTAAATTCTTTTCATCAAAAAATTTAAAATTAAAAAATATTGGTTACAGAAATCGTTATTTTTATATTACAAGGTAAAAAGCTCTAATGGAGAGGTACCCATTTTCAAAAGATAACTTGGAGGTGCGGAGTTGGTTTTGTATTCCAATTTCGCAGCTTGTGTTCTCCCAATAACTTTCATTCCCTTAAAATATCCACCTTGCCAGAGTACCTTTCCATTAGAATAGTCGACTCTTGTTATAATCCCATTCCAAAATTATACCCACATATCAATCATTCTCTGGCCTAGCTTCCCAAAAACATAGAATAAATCTCCTCTTAATGAGGGTTATAACCAGAATCAATTTTTAAGTAAAAATGTCTTAAGAGTCATTAATTCTGAAAAAAGCTCGTCTTTCAATCTATTTTTTAAAATTTCTAATTTTTCAATTTTCACATCCAACAACTAAAGAACTTTCCATAATTGCATATTGAGATAAATAATATGTTGAGAGAACAATAATTTCATTAGCTGGCTCTATTCCAGCATATTCTAAAAGCAGTAGAGAATCGGAAATGAAGAAGAAAATATAGCCAAAAATTCGAAGAATGTCCTTCTGGAAATTTTAATTTAATACACGAAATTAAAATTCGAAATTTTAGTCTTTAGATGTAAGGCCAGAATATCCAAAACCCAATTTGACTTGTGGCATTTTGTCAGTATTCTCTTATTGGACAAAATCTGTCCTATTGGCATTTTGTCAAATTTTGTCTTAATGGGCATTTTGTCGTTTTCTCCTAGTTTTCAAACAAAGCCTTTAATGGAATTTACTAAAACAATAGAAAAGACACTACAAGTTATGTAGTTATTTGTTTGATTTTACATCCATTTTTGTTAAAACAAAAACATTTCCAACCATTTTCCTCGTTTCCAAAGCTAAAGAACTGCTTGCAATAATTGCAGTAGATAACACTCCAGCATAAGCAATTAATGTAGAAATAACAAATGGATGTTGGGTAATTTTAGGTAATAAAAAATAATAGCAAATAGTTAAGGTATATAAATATAGAGGAATTGCTAATTTTAACAAAATTCTTTTAATTCTTGGAAAATATTCAAACTGAAAAATTTTTAAAATTTTTAGAATTATGGGGGGAGGATTTGGGGATATATAGTAGAAATAAGAGTGTAATTTTAGACATAGTTACGATATCTATTTAATTTTAGATTTTAATACAAAATGAGGTTGGTAGTTAAATTAAAATTTGTCAGGTTGAGTATAAGTTATTACGCCCTTTTATTATCCCAGCATATCCCCAAAATGCCAAATGAGGATATGTGTAGGATCAACAATAACCTCATGACAAGCTACCATTCTTAACAAGAGAAGCTTGGTCAGCTTGACATTTAACTTTCTGCAACATTCTTAAGTATATTACAGACCAATGTGGGAGATGTGCTAGGGTATTAACAGGGGGTATTAACATAAATCTTAACAATTTTCTATTCAAAGGGCTCAATTTCCTCAATCTTTCCAAATAAAAATTAAAATATTTACCATATAAAAAATGTGACAAAACCCAAAAGCTATAGCCCCAACAGAAAATGCCAAATGAGGATTAGGTAAAGCACTAATTAGAAAATCACCAAGGGCTGCGGAAAAAAGTGCGGCAGACAAAAAATGTTTTTTATTTGAAAATTTATCTGATATTTTTGCTGTTGTAATTAAATTATTCTCGTCTTCTTTTATTTTTAATTGACTAGAGACATTTCCAAAATGAACAGCAAAGGCCAAAAATAATAGTGGAAGGAGTTTTCTGTTGGAAAAATTTTTTTTTAAATTTAGTAAAAATTTTTTTTGACAATAATTTTGTTCCCAAACAGTAGTCAAACTTCCTTTTAAGCATTTTTACTAGTGGGCATTTTGTCGAAATTTGCCCTATTAGACATTTTGTCGAATTCAAAAAAGTAGCAGGGAAAATTTTCTTTTAAGATTTTTTAGGTAACTTACAAAAAACTGTATCGAAGTCTGTCTTCTTCGGCATTAAATCCATTTGTATTATCATAAAAGAATACAATAAGGAGAATATAAATGCTAAGTATATGAGCATTTGGTAAGGAAGTCATTTTAATAAGAATTTTTTGAATTTAAGAGGGGGAATTATTCTCTTGGAATTAAAAATTTTTTTTAATTTAATATAATTTTTCTAAAATGTGAAAAATCAGAAAAGTAGATATTTTTGGGATTTAATCACAGACAGGTGTGTCACAATCCTTAACCCTTGATTTTGACTTAAATTGTAATAAAGCGCAATGTAAAAAATAGCTATTTTTTCCTTTAGCTAATGCAAAAGGTTAATCGGCGGCTGGGAGCGAACCAGCATCTTAAGTAGACCGGACTGATGTACTAGCCATTACAACATGCCGCCTACTGCAAAGCCTTAGGAAATAAATAGCTATATGCTTTACATTGTCTATCTGGTTCTGGATTAAGTAAAAAGATCCACAACTTTTTCTAGTCCAAAAAACTTTCAAAAATGCTGGATTCATAGATCAATAAAGGAAAATATTATCACAGAATTGACAAAGGGTTCTTTTATCTTCACATTTAATATCAAAAAAATATTTTTATCAAACCCCTCCTTAAATAAATAGAACAAAGATTAAAATAAACCGGATTCTGTCATTATTTTTTACAACTTTATATAACAAATCTATTTAGTTGTAAATTGAGGGAAATTATTATTCCGTACATGGAAGGCTTAAACAAATTAGAGAGAGAGAATAAGCATCTCCTCTCTTTTTTAGTGTTCAACTGATCGGAAAAAAAATAAAAAAAATTTTCTCTCTGCTAGACTACATTTTTTGTGAAAAATAGGGAGGCTTATTCTCCTCCTCTTTCCCCACACCTTTATTTATTATGTCAATCAACACAAAAATATATAAATATAATTATTATCATTTGCTCTGCTAGACTATGAAAAAAAATTTTTTTGAAAAGCAGCAAGTGTTTTAGTTTAAGAATAAAGAGGAGGAATAAGTAGGGCTATAAGGTATTTATATTTCTTTCCTCAAATTTTCGTCACGTTAAAGCAAAACTTGGGACTTTCTTATGACGTTGAGACTTGCACTCTTTTTTAGTTAAAAATTATTTTGATAAAAACCTCGTGGGTTATTCTTTTTCCTTTTTGTTTGATGCAAAAGATCGACAAATTAAGCAAGAAATGGAAGAAAGCATATACATAGCTATTTAATTCCTAATTAATTCCTTAATTCCTAAGGCTGTGCAGTAGGCGGTGGGGTATAATGGATAACATATCAGTTCGGTCTACTGAAGATGCTGGTTCGCACTCAGGCGCTGATTAACCTTTTGCACTAACTGAAGGAGAGAAATATAGCCCAAAAATTTTACTTTATCTTTAAATGAATGGTCAAAACAATGATTTAAACTGTCAGTTATAACAATGAAATAACACTATTCTTGTTTGTACCTCTTGAATATTCCATTATTCATTGTTTTACAGTTTAATTTCATATTTTTATAACTTTTTGAAAAAATTTCTGGGCAAATCAAAAATTCATATTTTCGTTGAGAAAAGAAACATGACTTTTTCTTTAACTATTTTCTTGAGACAGAAGTAAAAAAACAATACATAAGAGTAGAGGGAAATTATAGCCATGCTCATTAAAATAAAAGATTTCCCAAATTTTAATAATTTTATTAAAAAAAAATTAATTAATACAATTTTTATCCCCAATTTATTTCAATAGTTGTATTATTATATAATTAAAAATAATATTCAAATGATTAAAAAATTATAAAAAATAAAAATACTAATCACTAACACTCTATTGCATTTGGATTAAGATGGCAATATTCACATAAATTGCAAAAGTTTTTACATTTAGGATTATTGTTATAACATATCAATCTACAGTTTTCTCCAGATAGTTCATAATTACATTGAGGGCCAGGCTTAGTAACTGGAACAATAAAGGAGGAGGTAAAAATAATAAAGCGATTATTCACCAAAAATAATAAAGCTAATATTATTATTAAATTAATTAATTTAAACATTTTTCTTTTTGGAATTTTTTTCTGAGAATTGGAGGTAAATTTGAATTATTTTAAATACATATCGAAAATATGTACGTTTTTGTACCTTTTAAATTTTTGATCTTTAATCTATTGAAAAAAGTTCGTTTTTATACGAAAGATGATCATAAATGGGCGGCTTAAAAAGTGGTTTTGAGATTGTATGCGTAATTTTTTGTTTTTAGCTTGAAAATTTATGTAAATATTTAATTAACTGCTGAAATTTCCGAATTTAAAATAAAGATTAAAATTTTTTGTTAATTGTATGGCAAATTAAGATTAAAAAAATTCGTTTTTGCAAAATTAATTTAATTAAATATTATTCAGAATTGAATTATGTCGCATTCTTGTTATCGGCCAACATTTTTATTTTCTTCCTTCCCAATGATAAACAGTCGTCAATAAACACATACCTATTTTCTTTTCCTTTTTAATATTACCATGGAGGATATGAAGGATATCGAGGGATTAAGAATGATATTGGGTAATTTGGATGGATATCGCAGATTAGGAGGGATATCCCGATTAAGAGGGATGTAGGAGGATTTGGGATGGATATCCAGTGATTAAGAAGGATATAGTTGGATTAAGAGTCTGTTATCCCTATGTCACTTTAATCCTTTCACAGCCTCTTAATTTCTCCAAATCCCTTTATATTCCAATAAACCTTTCAATTCCCTTATATCACTCTTAATTGTTCCACACCAATTTTAATCCTCCAATATCCTAATATCCTCCGCAGCAGCAAAAACTGCATGTAAACAAAGGTAAGGAGCTAAAATAAATGCTCATAACTTTGTCAAATCAAGTCGGATTTTGTTGATTTTGGTGTCATTTGACTTAGCTCGAGAAGCTTCTTCAAATGAGTTATGTGCTTACTCCCCCCTATGGTTTTTCGGCTTTTAAGGACTCATATCTCGTCTCGTAGGCATTTCCGCAGATTGGGTGTGGTATCATCCGACTCAGCTCGCCGAAACAAATCGAATGGTATAAATATAGAAGGGTTTTGAAGTGGGCCACCGGCTAAAGTATACCCAATAATATTTTAGTTCTTGAACATTTTTGCAGTTAAAAAATTTTTTTTAATTATCAAAATTGCTTATTTGTGATATAAAATTTAGAATAAATTTCCCAAATTTTAAATTTTTATTAATAAAATAAAATAGATAAATTACCAATTTATTTCTGTTAGTTAAAATAATTAAAAATAATATTTACATGATTAAAAAAATTAAAATAAAATTCAAAATCACAATTAACTACATCCTTCTATTAAATCATCTTCAACGCAAAGGCGACACATCACACAAACGTTTGGACAACTTATAGTCCTCACATTACATAATGGTAGACATCTCTCTTTAGATTTATCATTAGTAAAGCAAATATTATTAAATAAATTGATTTAAAAAACATTTTCGTCTTTTTTTGGGAATTTTATTTAAAAAATTTTTTTTGAGAGAATAAGGGTAAATTAAATTAAAATTTTTAAATTATTGAATAAAAATTTGGAGGATTATAAATGGATTGATTTAATTGATTTTATTTAATTTTTTTAAAATTTTTTTATTATAATTGATTTCGAAAAGAGAGAATTTGCGAGGTAAAAGATTTATATTTTGCTTATTAGCTTGAATGTCTATGTATAAAAAATTGTGTAATTAGCCGATGAAAATACAAATAAAAATTAATTTATACTATTTTGTTAATTCGTGTCAAATATCCAAATTTAGAAAATAATAAGAAATATTTTTTGTCAAAATTGATTTTTAGTTTAATTTTGAATCTTTTATCTATTAGAGTGTAACATAAATAATTAGCCCCCCTTGTGGTAAGAGGATTAAATAATTATTAAAATTCAACTAAATGTTTTCAGACTTCAATTAATATTTTTCTATGATCCTATAAGAGTTGCCTATTTTCTGGCAAAAAATTAGAATTCTAGGTTTAGGTAGGCCGGAATTAGAGGTGAAATACTAAAGCTTGTATTTTTGAAACAAGGCAAATTCTTTTTGATTTTTCTCTGCAAAATTGATGAGCAAGAATGAATATTTAAATAGATTCTGATAGAGCAGAATCAGATGAATACAATGATATAAGAAATTCCACTGGAAAACAACTGGCTGATTTTTTAGAGGGTCGCATTTGTGAAATATGGGCTAGCATTATGCTGTTTTAGGATAACTCTCGCGCGAAAATGCCTAGCGAGGCCAGGCGACCAGATTTTTCGATGGACTTGATCTATATGGGAATAATACAATTTGGGAGTAATAGTTTAGCCAGTTTAAACTAAATTCCAATGATTACCCCGCCGCGACACCACCAAATACATAACAGATCACGCTATTGGACCAGTCTGAATTAGAGGTCAAAATTGATGGTTAGCTGGGATGACCGTTCCTTTTTGTTTACAGAATTCATGAAGGCAACCCACACTTCCTCAAGGTTAAAATTTGATTCAAATAGGGAGCTTCATTGTGGCGTTTAAGGGGTTGTTTTGCAAAAGTGACTTAGTGGTTTTTTTTAATTTTGCGGCAATTCATGGGGTATCAATCGACTCTTCATAACTTGATACCCGCTTCAAGTAAAATTATGGTAATTTTTGTAAGTGAGCAGGTGAGTGCCTGCCCCAATATACACGTTTTATTTTTTGGACTGGCTTTGATTCAGGGGAGAACGGGATTCTTAACTATCGTTGGTTGGCATCCAAGACGTTATTTGTCTTTCAGCTCCTCTCTACCTTTTTTTTATTTGGGGACCCAACTTTTTTCTGTGGAATAGGAGATAACATCCTCATACTTCGCTATGCATATTTTGTGCCATGATTCCTTTTCCGAATGTCCAAGTTCAATCTCATATTTGAACTGGACGCTAATTTCATAATTTTGCCTTAAACTTTAAAAATTCATAAAAAATTTTTAAATAAAGAAAAAATTTCAAATCTTTCAAAAAATGAAGAAGGCATCATTGTGAATATATGACAAAAAATTAAACAGATTGGAGATCTGAACATTGAGATATACATTTTCAA